GCGACGTGTCTGGTACTCTTTTTTTTTTTACTGCGTTGTATGGGAGATAAAATAAGGTGTAACAGAGGTGTACACGTGTTTATCTGTTCGCGAAAGTGCGAAAAGTCTGCAATGCGATAAGTACCGTCGGTATGACGTAGGTACAGTACGATCCAAAAATTTCACTATGACTCTTAACGTCACCCGTGCGATTCGTAGCCTCTCGTGTGGGTATAGCGATATTTTTGAAACGTACTGTACCTCTACATATACTCCAAGAACCAAAGCTTGTGCCAGCCAATTCGATCTTCCATATATTTCGAATGGAATGGAATCGATAAACCAAATGTATTTTTCGACACCGTCGTTCATCTTGTCTCGTGTGGAGACGATATTCGCAATGGTCGAATTTTCTAGGAAATATGTGAAATCATTTTACTCGTTTCAACCCATTTTCCTGTTTCGCGATATTGCAGTCCAGCTGTTAAGGAACAATGGATGGGCGTTGGGTTTCGTTGTAATTTTTTTTTTTTTTTTTTTTTGAAGCGTCTCGGCAAATCGATCGACTCTCGTGAATAATTTCGAAATCCCAGCATACAAGAAAATCGCATATATCTCATGGACTCGGTTGATTAAAAGCAATACATATATGCGGTATGCAAAATTTAGCCAATTTTAATTTCCCTTTGCGAAAAGAAAGCACGAGGTTAATACGGGAGATTCGCCCGATACCTAAAATAATACTGTTTCGTATGGAGATTAAAAAAAGAAAATTCACTCTTTCACACAGAGCAGAACACAGAAATTCGCAAACGGAATGGCTGGTATTTAAGCGCTTTAATAAATACACAAAGGCAGCCCTGAGTATAGCTTGCGCCGGTAGCCAGTAACAATGATCCATACCTGCGCTTCCGTTTCCACTTAGTTTCAATTAACGCTCGGAAACAAAGGTCAAAGGCTTTCGATGGCCGAAGTAATTGCGCAGCCACAATTAAATGCAATTCTTTCGAGCTCGTCAATGGGGCTGAACATTATGATGCCCATTCTTGATATACGTATAGCTATAGGGGAAAGACAATCTGGTTAATTATTCAAACGATTCGGATTCATATACAGGGTTGTTCACGGGAGACGCACCAGTTGGACGGGACTGAAAAATTTTGGAAATCGAGGCTGTGTGAAATGAATGTAAAAAAAATGAAAAAATGTGAAATTCATGATCTTAGCAATCTTGTAATATTGTGAGGTTAACTTTCATTTCTTTAACGATGCCAGCCTGCTCTGATTCACGAAGCCATCAATTCACGGCCAATTTCAGCTGGTGCGTTTGCCGCGAATAACCTTGTACGTATACATATACGAGTACATATAGATATTTGATGCGATTCCAATGTACATCGAGTTGTAAGCAAATTTTTTCCCACAATCCCGGTAAACTTCCACGCCGAATTAAACACAGGTACAAGACTGTTCAGCACTTCACGACCCATTTGATTTTACACACGGGTCCATACGATCAACCAAAGTACCCCGACTGTAGTTAAGCTCCAAGCGCGTGAACACACTCTGTCCCAGTTAACTTTTCTATATTGGCTGTTAGCGAGCCTTTCATCGCGCGCTTTCATGAGATCCTCATTAGAATTGAATTTGCCCTCTTAGGTTGGTCTACAGGCTGCATGCCTGCATGTCTGCCTGTACCGTGCAATGGCAAGGTCGAGCCTTTCATTATTCCAGGTACGTCGTTCGATGTGAAAAGCCATGTGCATATTCAATTGTACTACAGCAAGTGGATATTAAGTGAAAATCGAGTTAGTGTCTGATAAGATGAAAATAAAAAAATGCATTTTTCGATAGGAAGTCATATCGTGATTGATAGGTCAGACTGGACCGTTCTGAGAGATCGCTCGTGTATACGCAAAGTCTTATCAATGCCTGGCACGTTCGCCACATTGTTTCCCTTTCAGCATTCTCTAGATCCGGAAACCAAATTCGAAGTAGTCGGCCATGGCGAGCGTGTAGAGTATCCGTCACTGTCTTAGGATTCGCAGGTTTATCGAAGTTGCTTGGCGAACTGAGTTTCGTCATTGTCGAAAACTTCCGTTTGGATATACGATGGCAAAGGCCGTTAATTTAATTAGGAATTGCGTGCGGCGAACAGGAGGATGCCCGATCGTAGTGTAACCATCCCCCAAGTTATCCATTTTCGGAAATTGAAACAATTTCCAGGTTGGCGAGACAATTTTTTCTTTTCACTCATTTGTACAGCTCTTTCTTGTAATTACTTGTAACTTTGACTATATACTCGATAAGGGCGAATTTTTTCGGAGAATCTTTTTTTTTTGGAAATTCGAAAAAAATAAGTATACGACTTCCAGGATTGTATAAAGAGAAAAGAAATTAAAATTTTCAATCACGTATATCCTACACTTCACTTTTTCATGTACGACAGCCCTAACGCGCGAGTTCAACAGGAGAGGCGTTTCTTGGTTTAATGAGAACGACGGTGCTTTATGAGATATCAAATGACGTCATAACGGAAAAGCATCGCTTAAGGTAAACTACAATGAAAACGTCGTAATGAAAGCGAAACAAACGTTACGTCTGCTATTTGCTCAGGCGGAATCCTCAGCGCTGTGTACCGTTGCAGCTGCAATCGCGCTACTGCAATTTCACGTTCCTAACGAAATAAACAATTTTTCGCTTAGCCGTTATGAAAGGTGCCTCTTAGCAGTCTGGATGATCTACGTGGTTAGTCGGTCAAGGCAATTACACGCGAACCCTTTTTCAACGAAAAACCGCGACAGATTCAGGGGTCTGCAGTATAGGTGTTAACACGCCACTTCCCCTAGGAGCTAATTTCAACGGGATGAGCAACGTTTTCTAATTGAAAGCCCTGATCAAAGGCCTCCATGGGTAAGGTATAGTCTAGAGGTACTTTAGGGTCGGATTTGGGGATATTTGTACCTATTGTTTGTAGACCCAACGAATTAACTAGAAATTCAGAGCCTTTTGAGTTTCTCTATTTCATATGGAGTAATCGTAGGTGACCTTTGACCGAAAATAACAATGACCATCGAATTTTTGTTTTATCTTTTTTTTCCAATTGTTCTCGTACTTTGCTGTTATACCAGGCTTTACTTTCTTTCTTCTGAGGGTACTCTTTCTCTTTCTCTCTCTCTCTCTCTCTCTCTCTCTCTCTCTCTCTCTCTCTCTGTCGCTACTCTTCTTCTCTTTCTTCACTTGTCCACTCTCGTGCTCTCGCCTCTTTGAAAAAACCTGTAAAAAAAAAATTTCACGAAAATTCTAGACAGACGGTTCTCATTTGGCGAACGTGCCGAAAAGTCGTCCGCTTATCAGGGAGAAATGAGCGTCGCGACGCAAAGACACTCGACTCGTCGCTTTCTCAGGTGCTTTGCTTATCTCGCGCAGAAAGAAATTATGTGCCGTGAAACGTTGACCAAATAAACGGTCGAGCGTGACCTTCTCGGGCGACCTTCGAGAGCGAAAAATCGAAGTAGTTAGCAGGGGTAGAGAAAAGGGAGGAAAAAATTTTGCAAAAAATCAGATACGTCCAATATGAGATTCGCGAGAAACGTCAGGCGACACGTTCAATTTGCGAGACTGTACTTGAGAATCCTACGCAATCCTCTGGCCGATATATCGAGTGAAAATCAATTTTAATCAACTTTTTTTTTTACCTCTACATCAACTCCCTCTTCAACCCCTATACTTTCACGGACTCGTGTTATTACGTCTTCACTTGCCATCCCTCTTTTTTTACTCGTCCCCCACGGTTGCACTATGTCTACTACTTTTTTTTCTTTCTTCTCGCTCCGATACGTAATTTTCTCCTTCTTCCATCCTTCCACCCTTCGGCGTCTCGTTCTCGCTCGCGACGCCGACGCTACCGATCGACTAGCTGCTAGAAGTCGCAAATTGATATTTACGAGAAAATTAAATGCCTTCTGATAAACAGCGTAAATTGGCTGTGACATCGCCAATTTACACGATTTCGTTGCAACGTCGAATAATGGGTACCGAAAAAAATTATTTTCACTAACAAAAATTTCTGTTAAAAATTAACGAAAAATCGCGAGATTTCCTTGTCATGTTTTCACAATCTTATAATTAACCCGTCCTTACCATCAGCCGTATACGGGGTACCTACCCCTTTTTTGTCCTGCCTATCTGACCTATCTAAAGAGCAGGCAGAAGGTAGAAGTGGGGTAGGTATCTGATGCATGGAAAAAAAAACGAAAAAGTGGTGGGAAAAATCGGATCATCAATATTTCAGAAACTGACATGAAATTAGGGGGGGGGGGGGGAAGGCACCCCTTTTTCTTGACGCTTTGATGAATATACAGTTTTGAAATATCGTGGGGTTGGTCTACACGATGGATCATCGTGTTACTGTCGAAGCGCGTAAACTATCGCCGAGACACGAGCGATTATCCTTTACCGTACATAATTCTTCCGTGAGGCTCGCAAGAGAGTGCAGTTTAATGGAATATTCCGTGACCGGGACCCGCTATTCATCATTATTATCGATGATTATGCAATCAACGTGTAATTAATGATTAACGAGTCGAGTTTATCGCATATGCTGCGTTTTACGGATTACGGACTATACGTCTATCGTGGTCCATACACGTGTAGTACACTGCGTATGAATTTGTTCTTTCGAAAATACTGGCAGACGCGATTAACGTTAGGTTGGGTCGTGCACGAAACACGCTGTTCTTTGTTAATTAAATAAAAACGTGTCGCCAACGTGCATATCATTTTTTACATCGCCCAGCTGCACGTACTTTTCACTGTGTTTGCACATCAAAGGCAAATACGTTGGCTTAATTAAAGCAGCAAACGAGCATACAGCTTTATCCGCGATTCATCTGATCGCATCTATACAGGACAATGTACATGACAATTTATCATTGTCACAATGTATTGTATATGTATTGTATGTTCTTGGTTGCAGTAATGAAGTTTAATATTTCTGTTTTTCTTTTGCTTCATTTCAGAGAATGGGATCGGTGCACGGTGAGGAATTGCCATTCGTCTTCGGTGCACCCCTGGTTGACGGTTTTGGCCATTTCCCCAAGAACTACACGAAACCGGAAATTGCACTCTCGGAAAGTCTGATACTTTCGTTCGCCAATTTCGTGAGGACTGGGTAAGTGGATGAAAGTTTTGTCTTGCGTATAAATATATTTTTCACAAATTTTTTTTACCACGGGTGAGGCTGACAGCGAAAATCAATTTTGCAATTAGACCGAAATATGTCGATTAACCAAAATTTCAATATCGAAGGACCGGCAGAAAGCTCGTCGGCTACAGCTTCAACTTTTTTTTTCAGTAGGAAACCAAGTGAACGCACTTGCCATGTTCGCGAGCTTGCGTACGTTGACGTATACCGTACAGTCATTTTTGTTTTTACCCTTCGGAAATTTAGAGTGAAAAAGGAAATTAATATTATTTTCCTCTTTCTGTTTTCTCTTCCCTCGCTTTCTTTTTTTTTTTTTTTTTTCAAAATTTTTTT